ATGTTTTTACTACTATTGGTGCTCCTTTCCATGACTCTACTCAATATTGATCCTTTGTTGGAGCACTTCAATACTTGACAATTACCACACCAGATCTTTCCTATGTTGTGAATCAAGCAATTCAATTTCTCCATGCTCCCACTACTCAACATTTTACATTTGTTAAAAGGATCTTATGATATGTCAAAGGCACGCTTACTCATGGTCTTCATTTCTTCGTTCCTACGAAGTCCATGCTTTTTGGTTATTTCGATGCAAATTAGGCTTGTTGTATTAAAATGGGGCGTTCCATTTATGGTTACTCCATTTTCTTTGGTGGAAATCTCGTATCTTGGAGTGCTAAAAAACAGCCTACCGTCTCTCGATCAAGTTGTGACTCCGAGTATCGTGTCATGACGAATACCGCTGCAGAGCTCGTTTGGATTATTCATCTAATTTGTTATCTAAATGTATTGCCACCTGATAGACCTACTTTAGTTTGTGATAACTTGAGTGCTATTTTTCTAAGCTAAAATCTCGTAGCCCATAAAAGAGCTAAACATATAGACATTGATTATCACTTCATTCGTGAACTTGTCTTATCCGACAAGTTGCATACAAAGTTTATTCCTACTAAGCTTCAAGTGGTCGATACATTCACCAAACCGTTGTCTAGACCATTATTTGAAAAGTTTCATGATCAATTGCGAGTACGCCCACCACCTGTATGCTTCGGTTGTGGCGCCGGGGGGGGGGGGGGGGGGAGGGGGAGGGGGGAGGGGTATTGGAGATAAATCTCATATATAATTAGTTTATTTGTTTTCCATAATTCTTTATTTTTCCCTGTATATCTTCTATCATGTTGTATCATGTATTATCATTCAATGATCAATAATATTCAAGTGGATCATTTATCCCATTCTCTCACTATCATATTTGAGCTAAACCCCACTCTAATTCAAGATCAAACTAGGATTTATTTAAAAAAAATGTATAATAATTGTGTTTTTTTTCAAAACTTAAACAATTGTCAAACGTCATTATATTCGGTTTATACTTTTCCTACAATGATTAGTTGTTTTACAATTTGTAATTCAAACCTAGTTTATTGTAATGCGCCTAGCACTAAAATTTCGAATTTATGACCTCAAACACCATCTTTTTTTAATGCTCAAAAACCATATTCTCACATCTCAAAAGGGAAAAGATTCGTCATTTTTAACGTTTTTAGCATGAGACTTGATGAGCCGTTGACATGAAGAGTATGAAAAAGTTAAAGCAGGGGTAAAATATATATATATGTAAATCATCAAGGACCTTTATGATTTTAGTGGTTTCTTTTTACCGGCAAAACTGTCTTTCAAAAAAACTAGTTTAATACACAGAAAACACAGCAAGCATTTTCTTGAAGATGCTAAGCTTCAAGATCACGATCTCTCTCTCTCTCTCTCTCTCTCTCTCTCTCTCTCTCTCTCTCTCTCTCTCTCTCTCTCTCTCTCTCTCTCTCTCGTATAGAACGTCGGAGAGCTTGATTGATCGATTTCTTTTTATGGGGTCTCCAATAACCGTTAACTTTCTTGTTATGAAGATTCTCTAGCTATCTTTCTTGCTCCGATCTCTTCCACTTTCCGTTCTTTGCTTTCCCAAGCGAAGAATCTCTCTCCATTCTCCCTCAATGAAAACTATCGCTTTCCTTTCCCTATCAGAGATTCCCAACTTCTTTACTTTCTCAAAAACACAAGCTTTATCAGCAATGATGCCTTTGTTCTTCTGCCTATCTATCTATCTACCTCTCTGCTACCGTTCTTTTTTCTTTCTCAGAGGACGCTTTCTCTGTCTCTCTCTCTCTCTCTGTCTATCTCTCTCTTAGTCCTTTTCATTTACGCCTTCGCTTTTTTGCCTTCTTGGAACTCCGGTGGAAAATCTATACATACCTCCCCGAACCCCACCATTTATGTCTTCTTCAGGGAACGTCAACCACCTTTCTCAGCGCTGTATTTACGGTATGGAGAAAACAAGAGTTTTTCATTTTTCGATCATGGATAAATCCATTTGCTTTTTGCGTTTTATAAATAACATCAGGAAATTAAATTGTTTGATGATATGCCTATATGAATCTTAAAATGTAATACTTCCCGAATTAGCATTTGCATGATTACCTTCTGGGTCTTGTTATTTTCCAATTTGGGGGTTTACTTAACGCAGGTGACTTTGTTTCTTCACATGCAGAGAGGAAATCCTGGTTTATGAGATGGCTGAGTAAGCTTTTCAAAGGTGGTTCTAATAATCGCAGGCAGGCTGCTACTACACATCCTCCCCCACACTTTATAGGAGACGAAAACATGGTTTTACGTGCTCCTGTTAGATCCTTGGTAAACATATATACAATCTTGTTTATATATTTCATTTTATATATTGATGCAAAAAAGACAACAAAAATAAAACTTTGCGTGAACTCTAATAATGTCATCTGGTAGCATAAAGTAGAAAAGTTTGTTTTTGTATCATAGTGCATAGAAGCATATATGCTCTTTTTTTATTTAATTCCCTGAAATTACGTCATACGTTTCTAAATGCCTCAAATTCTATTAGGACAATCGCTCAAGGACCGATAAAGAGAAGGAAGAATTAGATCGAGCTATTTCACTTTCTTTAGCCGAAGGTTTAAAGAAACCAAATGGTATCTTAATTAATCTTCTCCTTCAAATCATCAATGTTGTTAATTAATTGATCACATGTAATTATAAATTTCCTCCATTTGTACAGGATATGGATGGCGAGCTAAAAATGATGATGATGATCTTGCAAAATCAGTTCAAGATGACCTTCATTCATCACATCCTCCATATGTTCATAGAGAATATCAGCCAATGGGATATAGGTATACTTAATTAACTATGATTCCTTTTCATCAAATCATATCAATCGTGATTTCTTTAAAATCTTTTCATATATATGTTTATATTGCAGAATATGTGGTGGTTGCAACGGTGACATTGGTTATGGAAATTACTTGGGATACATGGGAACATTTTTCCACCCTGAATGCTTTTGTTGTCGTGCTTGTCGTTACCCAATCACAGAACATGAGGTGATTAACATTAGTTTTCCCATTTGGTCAAATGCATGATTTGGTTTTCACAAGTCAAATATGATGATGATGGTGTTGAATGTTTTCTTATTAATTAGTTTCTTTTTCTTTTGATTCAAGTTCTCTTTATCAGGGAAGGATGCATACCACAAGTCTTGTTTCAAAGAGCTTACGCATCCCAAATGTGAAGTCTGCTTTCAATTTGTAATGAATTATACATAAAACCCTCCCTTTCTTTAATTTGTCCACTTAACTAATTTTTTGAGATTTCGAATCAAATGCTAATTATTGTGAATCTAACTTTTTCAATTATAAAGATTCCCACAAATGGAGCTGGGTTGATTGAGTATCGATGCCACCCATTCTGGTCCCAGAAATACTGTCCTGTACATGAACATGATAACACAGCAAGATGCTGTAGTTGTGAACGATTGGAGGTATATATATATAGTTAATTTCAGCAATCTTTTCACATTTTTATTTATTTTTAATATTTGTGAATTTTGTATATAGTCTGTGAATGTGAGATACATATCTTTGGGAGATGGCCGGAGTTTATGTTTGGAGTGCATGGAATCTGCAATAATGGACACCGGTGACTGCCAACCACTTTACCACACAATTAGGGATTACTATGAAGGAATGAACATGAGACTTGATCAACAAATTCCCATGTTACTTGTTGAAAGACAAGCTCTTAATGAAGCTATTGTTGGGGAAAAACATGTAAAAAGATCATTCTTTTTTCCTTTTTCCAGTTTCGAGTTCTTTTTTTCATCTCAAATCTTCTGACATAAAAATGGTTTTTTTTTTTTTTTTTTCAGGGCTTCCATCATATGCCTGAAACAAGAGGTCTTTGTCTTTCCGAGGAGCAGACTGTTGCAAGTGTAAGTTTAGTCATGTACTTGATCTATCGTCTTCACGTGGTTTTATATCGTCTGAGTTTTGTGGTTTGATTTCAGATACAGAAAAGACCGAAAATTGGGGGTCACGCGGTGATAGGAATGAAAACTCAACATCAGAAATTGACTCGAAAATGTGAAGTAACAGCGATTCTTGTTCTTTATGGTCTCCCGAGGTAACGTTTCATGATTTTTTTTTCTCTTTTCTATGAACGATCGACTAGATTTTGAAACTGATGTCACGAAATCAAATTGCAGATTACTTACCGGTGCGATTCTCGCTCACGAGTTGATGCACGGCTGGTTACGTCTTAAAGGTAATCAGAAAACATTTGTTTATTGAAAAATACTTAGGGTTTATGAGTTTATTTGAAATTGGCAGGGTATAGGAACCTTAATCCGGATGTAGAAGAAGGTATCTGTCAGATGCTTTCGTATATGTGGCTTGAATCGGAGATTATGCCCGGATCGACTTCATCAGCTCCGTCGTCATCTTCTTCGGTTTCAAAGAAAGGTGGGAAATCAAGGGTTGAAAATAAATTGGGTGAATTTTTTATGCATCAGATTACACATGATGCTTCGCCGGCATACGGAGAAGGATTTAGGGCTGCTAATGCCGCCGTGAATAAATATGGCCTCCGTCGTACGCTTGATCACATTTGGCTAACCAGAAGCTTTCCCCTGTGATATTCTTCAAGATTCAGTTCACTCCTGTATTTGGAGGTTTACTAAATTGTCCCTCGAGGATTGAGTTATTAACGGAGGCTTGACCAAGGAACCCAAGTTTTTGTGGGGTCATTTTGGGGAATACACATACACACACACGAGGAAGATGACAGGACAAATAAGTGTTTTATTTTATTTATCTTTCAATAAACTTCAAAGTGTTTTCTTCCTTTTTCTATTACTGATATTGGGTTATTGTATTTGTATTTGTATTCGTATTTGTATTTGGAATTAACACACAAAAAAAATGTACTTGAGAAATTAACACACAATTTATTAAAGAATGGAGTATAGCATCCATTTGAGTTCATACTCCAAATATTTGATTGCATTTGGGTTTTTTAAAATTCCGTCTTGGGTGTAAACCAATTTTTTCCAACAGTTGACATATAACTGAATAACTGATAATTAACCACAATCTAAACAACAAAAAAATACATACACAGGTCTTCTCTGTTCTCTCAACCTATTTTTGTCTCATACAAGAACACGAAATCCTCTAGACGATTCTTCATCTCCTTTACTTTCCCTCTTTCATTTTCTTGCGTCCCATCAATGGGAAAAGCTTGAACGTTCAAGCCATCACGTTGAGTGTCTTTTCGAGTACTCAAATTAACGTGTTAAACAAAAACATACACATGACTTAATTAGAACAACAATTCCCCTTTGAATCTTTCGCGCTATTCTCAACCTTAATGGTAGTACCTTTCGTAGGAATAGAAGCAGCTGCTTCCTGAGCAGCTAAGGCTTTCTTGCTTACTATATGATAAATATCAAGTAAAATTGTTTGGAAAGCCTTCTCCACATTATTTGCATCAAGTGCAGAAGTTTCTAGAAATGCGAGCTCTTCTTTTTCTGCTAACTGCTGAGCATCGGTTTCTGAAACAGCTCTAAGATGGTTTAAATCGGATTTGTTTCCAGCTAACATGAGGACGATGTTGGAATCTGCATGTTCCCTAAGCTCACGAAGCCACCTTAGAACGTTGTCGAATGATTGTTTTTTTGTAATGTCGTAAACCAAAAGAGCACCTACTGCTCCTCTGTAATAAGCACTTGTGATTGCTCGATACCTCTCTTGACCTGCTGTGTCCCATATTTGTGCCTTCACTGTCTTCCCCTCGACCTGCATCGTATTAGCAATCTCTTTGGGTCATTTCAACAAACATCTTTCGGGCACTATAAAAATATACATCGATTTTACTTTTTTGGGGTGTTTATTAAGACCAATCTTATGGTAAAAGATGTTCGTGCAATGAAATGCAACATTGCAAACAATCTATTCTGGTGTAAGCGTGATATAAAAGAGAAATTAATGTCGATGTAGGATTCCATGAAAGAATTTGAACAAACTTGGGAGGAAGCAACAAACCTGAAGAGTCCTGGTAGCGAATTCAACACCAATGGTGGATTTAGATTCCAAACAAAACTCATTCCGGGTGAATCTAGACAGTATGTTTGATTTTCCGACACCCGAATCCCCGATTAAGACAATCTTGAATAAGTAATCATACTCGTGATCCACCTTATACGCCATTCCTTCTCTGTTTGTACTCGTCACAAACCTAGAAATTTGGGGAAATAGAAAAAGTTAATCAACAAAAGAAACCCATATGCAAAAGCAAGAATAGTGGGATCGGTCTTTTCTTCCTTGGAACCCACAGTTTTTGTAAAGAAAAATGATAAGAAAATTCAAGAAGCTTACCATGCAGGAACGTGCGATGAAGAAAAACAGTAAAAAAAGATTAGATTTCCAGACGATTGAGAGAAAGAGAGAGAGAGAAAGGGTGGAGAAGGAGGATCCCAAAACAGAGGAACCCAATGAACAGGAATTTTAAACGGGGGGAACAATCACGAAATTGTATTGAATTAAAAATATTCACTAACACCCTCTAGTTTATGTTTGAAATACAGAAAAGACCTGCAAGATAATTATATTTTCCCAAAAAGAACCATGTAACTAAACAAACAAAGATACAGATGCCAAAAACAAATCTTCTCCCTCAAAAGCCATTGTTCCTCTTTGTTTAAGAGAAAATAATTTGTACGGGTAACAAAGTATCCAATTGAAAAAAAAAAAAAAACCATTGGACTTTTCTTTGTATACGTATTATTAGTAAACTATAGACTTTGTATACATGTGTATACGACTATTAAAGTTTAAATTTTGTTTGAAAAATATCATTGGTATTATTAACATAACAAGTTGCAATTCAAACAAAAAATTATAATCGGTATGCAATCAAGAAATTTGCCATATAATATACTAGATCAACGACGTAGTTTGTCTAGATAGGTAAGATAAAAGCCGTATGACTAATAATTACAATTCAAACAAAAAAATTATATATCAAAACACTTTATCTATAAAAAAAATACATATTTCTATTAAAATATAGACAGAACTTCAAAAATCAAAAAATCTCACAGATTGTCCCTATGGTTTCAAAACTTTTATATTTTTGCTAAATTTAACTATATGACATTTGATTGTAATCTCGTAAGACGTCTAATACTTTCTGAATGATTCTAAGCATAGTTTTACTTTATTTCTAGTAAAAACTGATGGGTTTTGAGCGTTCTAACACTTCCTAAGTGTACATGCAACCCTAATAACATTGGATCTATGTTTGTATAATTATCACGCAAAGTTGAATTCCAAGGTTATATTCATATCTAGCATACATGGGGAACATTTTTAACTTGAATGAAAGATAGAATAACTTACCTTGTTGTTGATTATGATCCTTGAAACCTTGTGAGTCTAGCACCCCAAGTGTAATGACTCAAATGCTTCACATAACACCAAATGCTTTTGGAGTAAACTTTGAGAGAATCTTACACTTGCAAAATCGGTTCTAGCCCTCTTGTTTATTAGTGTAGCCGATTTTGGTGGAGGAGATGGTCTTTATATAGTGTGACACATCTAGGGTTACACCATGTAAACCCTAATGTGTCATGGCTCTTCATTTCCATGACACATGGGTTTATAACTCCCATGGAGCATCCTATGGGTTTAACCCAACTTGATAATCCATGGAGACTCTTAGCCCACTATACAAGTTATGGATGATTTACATAATCAACCTATATATTTAATTAGTTATCTTTTGATCACTTAATTAATTCTAAATTAATTCTTGATCAAACTAATTAAATAATACTATTAATATATTAGAACTTATAATATATTAATAAACCACAAGTGTTATTTCTCTCATTTAGTCTATCCAATTGCATGGTGCCATACAACCCAAATGGACCATGTTGGTTCGGGTCAAGTACATATCATAAATAGTTATGGACTTAGAAACCTTATCCAGCATTCTCCCACTTGCATAAGTCTAATAAATATAACTGCATAAGTCCAACAATTTGTTTCCCGATTTCCGATTTGTTTGACAAAGAACTTAATTGAACGCATCAACTTAGTTCTGACCGGGCCCAGTACATAGGTCAAAACAAAATCGTCGAGGGGCCCAGATATCAGCTTCTAATCCAAGAAGGAACAAATAAACTTTGACTCGTATGTTTGTTCTACTACTCATTGAATTATACACAAGAACATGTTTTATAACATCGAGTTACCAATGCGTTTTCGTACAATCAATGCATAATCAACTCATAAGTAACAAATCATATCTCTAGGTTTGAAGACTTACATGATATTACCGTCTCACGATCACTCGAGATAAATTCCATGAATTGATTCCAGCGAGCGTGGGTTGAGTCCAATGCTCAGAACTTATGAGCACTCATGATTGTTGTAGCCATGTCCAACAACTTAGACCTCTGTAACCAATCATGACAGTCTTGATTCATACCTACTTCCGCCATATGACCGACTGTGGAGGTTCGAATAATATGATATACCAAACATAATTATTCTGGAAGTCAAAACATGCAAAAGAAATATAGTAAACGATCAACAAGAGATAGAAACACTTTACTCATAAATAAAACACCTTTTATTCATCATCTAATGTCAATTACACTTTACAAATTTCGAGGTTATCTAACTACTAAATCTAATTGTTGGATTAGTGTCTAAGTCCATAATTGTTTTGGTATGTACTTGACCCGATTATGAGCATGGTCCTTTTGGGTTGCCTTCACCATAGCAATATGTAGGATGATTTAAGGAGAGAAAGGTTTAAATATGATTTGTTAATATATTATGAGAATAATATATTAAAGGAGAAATCATATTGTTTAATTAATATTGGTCAAGAATTAATTAAGAATTAATTTTGTGGTTAAAAGAGATTAATTAAACTTAGGGGACTGAAGTTGTAATTATAAGATAATTATAATTGGGCTATGGATCACCTAATAATATATAGGTTGAACGAATTCTATGGGAAGCACATTAGAAATCGTCCAAGGGATATGTTTAAGGAGTCCATGGGTTGCTTAGGGCCTAAGCAGTCAGATTAGGGTTTCCTAGTTGTAAACCCTAATAGCCTACATGTATAAAAGGGACCCTTAAGCCCCAAAAACGTGAACAACACTTCCATTAGGGTTTCCAGCCGTTTTTGGTGCCTCTTTTTCTTCTCCTCTTCATCCAAGTTGCATATGGTGTTTGTGACTCCATTAGAGGTACTACACTTGTGGTACTTGCTTTCAAGAGCTAAGGAAATTCAAGGAACTAGTTGTTATTGCTATATAACAACAAAAGGTATGTATTCTAGCTTTATATATGAATTTCGAAAATTATAGTAGCATGCCAGGTTTCTTTTTGTGTTCATAAAGTTGTATAACTAATAGTGAAAACATAGATCCAATACTAGGGTTGCATGCACACATAGGATTGTTTGTATAAGACCCATCAGTGGTATCAGAGCCATTGGTTTTTGTTTTCAATTAGCTTTTATTCAAATTTGTGAACTTGACATATTAGGGTTTATGGCTAATAAACCCTAAAGGCTAGGTAATTTTCGCAATTAGGGTTGCAAAACCCTAGATGGCGATTTTTGCTAGGGTTTCCCAAATCCTTTCCTTAGCCTCCAAGATTTTGAAATCTAGGGTTATCCAACCCTTGGATTTCGAAATTACCTCCTTCCCCAAGGTTAGATCCTAAATTTTAGGGATTTGGATAATCCCATATCTTGTAATTATCTTTTAATTGTTAAATATGGTAATTAAAGATCTTGAATTATCCCATCCCTTATTTTCGAGATTTAGAGAGGGATTCAAGGGATTAGGATATCTTAGATGTATAATTGGTAATTATCCTCATGATCTAGATAATCCCTTGTGATTTAATAATTTAAATTAATTGTTTAATTTATGGTAATTATTAAATCAAGAGTTTTAATATTTAAAATTTTAATTTAAATGTCTTAAATTCGAAAATTTTAAGTGAGATTAAAACCTAATTGTTTTGAAGAGTTTCAAAACTTGCCCTCAAGTTTTGGAATTTAAATTGTTGATTAAAAGTTAATTTTGAAAGTCTAAATTCCAAAACCCTGATTTTGAAAAGTTCAAATTAAACCCTTATGGTTTTATTAAATTAATTAAGTGTATAATTAAAAGAGATTTAATAAATCCATAATGATTTTGGTTAATTAAAAGTATAATTTAAACCACCTAGTATTTTAAAAGTGTAAAATACACCCTTATACTATATATAACATTAAAAGTTTAATATTATATATGTATAACTAAAAATTCAGTCTTACCGTTAGTAGGCCTCATTCACGAAACTAGTCTATAAGGGGTGTTTAAGGAAATTGCCTATAAAATGGCGATTGAATGGGTATCCACTCTTACCCACCGCACTCTTGACTAGTGGAGGGTCGTTAGCCGAACGGGTAGGATAGGACAGAAACCTTCCATTATAAGTATAATGAAGTACAAAGTAACTAAATGCTTTTTCAAATTCCCAAATCATAGTTACTTTAGGCAAAATGTGAAATTGTATGCTAACCCATGGAATTACACTTCGTACCCTTGTCAAACGTTAGTGGAGCGTGTGTGGTTAACCGGCACACTAATTTGGGGATGACATTGGTGGCAAAGGGTGGCTCGATGCTTATCATAGATCAATGGAGCGTGTGTGGCTAACCGGCACATTGATTAGGTGATAGTAGCATTGGGTGCACCACGTGATTCGTATGGTTATTTACACCTTGTTTGTGATCCTCGGCATCCCAGTCACGAATAGTAGGGCATAATCGAGATTAAACATGCCATTGAAGAGTTCAATGAGTCTCAAAAGATCTAGGAGTTTCAATTCATTTAAAACTTAAACTTCTTTTTCGTTTTTCATGGTGGAAATTGGTAAATCGTCATTTACCTACCTTCAAATATTCTGCAACTAGATTACGGCATCCCTCTTCTAGGTTGTAGAGTATTGTGTTGGATCCTAGCTTGATGTTTCATTTGGGTGTTGCATCAAGAATTCTAATCAACTTAACTTGAATTTTCTCCCGTTTTGTAGATGTCTGAATCTTACAATGGTCTTCCCAAATCCTTTGGAACAAGCTTTCCAAATGAAGATGACGTTCCGAGATACGATCAAGGAAATGAGAGTCATGCTTCACTTCCTCCACCTCCTCCAATTATTCTCCCTGACCCACAAGTTCAAAGGCTTGAAAAGTTCAAGCTCACTCAAGCCCTTTTGGCAAGTAAACACGAAGATGGGAAACCTGTGTGTGCGCACGTCTTAGAGATGAAGTCATACATTGATAGGTTAAACATGTTGGGTGTCGAGATTTCAAGTGAGTTGGCTGTTGACTGGGTTCTTCAGTCACTTCCTGAATCATATAGTGAGTTCGTTAGAGAGTACTATATGATGGACCACGACGTGACCCTAATTGATCTCACCTATTTGCTTATAGCTGCTGAATCAGCAATGATT